CCAGAAGATTTTATTTTAATATATACTTAGATTTTTTAAAAATATTCTTAAATTATTTTGTGTATGATGAGAGACAGAGATTTATTACTTTCTAAAAACATAGCCACCTGTCTTTACTCAATTTTCATTTCAACATCACACTTAAAGCATTTAAAAGAACTAAAGTGTCGACTTCTTAGTTATAAAAAAGGAAGTTGTATAAACAAAATAATAAACCAACAGTCTAAGTTTAGTTTGATAGGCTCTTACTATTACGTACTTAAAGATTACATGGCAGTTTCAGGAGCAAAAACTCTTACCATGCCTGGCTCTCTCATTACCACTATGGCTCACAACAGGATCTCCAAAAGACATCACAGACTGCATAGTCTATCTGCAGCTTACTGGTCGCCACACTTGCAAATTTACATTTACATTTAAATAACCCACACTTAACAACAAAATCAACCATCTCCAACTCTCTATGCATTCCTTATTGCTACTCCCAGACCACAGTGCTTTGGAGACTTAGTAAAGAAAATGAATGCACTCTCCTGAATCATAATATCGCCTGAAAATGTAACCAGAAAGTATAAAAAGTCAGGGTAGTTTGTTAAATTTTGTTTGCGCACGTGCGTGTGAGCGTACATGCGTACATGGAATCAACAATTTAGAAAGTTACCTTATCTTTGGAGTGAGCAAACTTTTCCTGTAAAGGTCCAGAGAGTAAATTGGCCGCACAGGCCATAAGGTCTCTGTTTCAGCTCTGATGTTGTATTGTGAATGCAGCCAGAAAATACATAAATGAATGGACGTGGCTATATTCCAAGAGAAGTTTATTTACAAAAACAGGTGGTGGGCAGGATTTTGCCACAGGCAGTATTTTGCCAGCCCCTGCCTTATACCAATGTTTTCTCTTTTTCAAATAAGAATCTACTTCCCTCATTTCACACATATTTGAGTAAATATAGTAAACTGAAGGGAGAAATAATTTCAGTACTGCTTTACAGAAATGAATATTCTCAAAACTAATCACTAACCTTTTCCTATAAGTCCTTCTCATATGAGCACATACATTTTTGAAAATATAAACTGTAAGCATAACCTTGAACCTAATATTTATTTCAAAAGACAGTTTTGAATGTTATGTAGCTGCTATAAAAGGAATAATGCAGTCTAGACAGTCAAATACAATGATCTTTTATTCATTATTCTCATAATCAACAGTGAGTAGAAAAGTCTGCTCAATACATGGTCATGAATCATAACTTCACTACTCAAAATGTAGAATTAGACTTTCAAAGTACATTTAAATGAGAATACAAATTTGTTCTTTGGATTACTTACCAAAATCCTTGATGAAAAATGATAGAGTTTTGCCAAAATATTTTTAATTTAGAAAGTGAAACCAAGAACCTCTTTTGCATATCATACATCTATTTAATTTTAAATACAAATTTTAATGTTGCATTTGACAGCCTGGTGAGGTAGACATTATATTTTTAAGGCAGCCATTTTAATATAGGGAAAGCATGTGTGAATATGTATTAACACTCTAATCCATCAAGGCCACTTGTTCACAGAATATATTTGAGCTCTAAAACTGTTGAAAGAAAATGCTCAAATAGCTTACAGAAATAATGGATGTTATTCAGAACAGAAAGGAATAAAATTAAATAACAAAAGTTCCTAAGATTTCTTGACACCAAAAGCACAGCCCATAGAGAAAACATAATAAACTGGACCTCATCCAAATTAAAGCCTTTTTCCTCTGTGAAATTCCCTGTGAAAAGGTTGGAAAGAGAAGTTACGGACTGGGAGAACATAATTTCAAACCACTGCCTGACAAATGATTAGTGTAAAAAATAAAGAACTCTTAAAACTTACCAGGTTAAAAAAAATCCAAATAGAAAATGGACAAAAGATATGAACCAACATTTCACTGAAGAAGATAGAGATACCAAATAAACACATGGAAAGAGGATCAATATCATCAGCCATCAGAAAAATACAAATTAAAACTAGAAGGAAATATCACTGCACACCTATCAGAATAGCTAAAATAAAAAATAGTAACACCACCAAATGTTAACAAGGATGAGGAACATTCACACATTGCTGGTGGGAATGTAAAATGGTCCAGCCATTCTGGAAAACGGATTGGCAGTTCCTTAGAAAACTAAACATGCAAGTGCTATACCACCTAAGAGGTAGACTCTTGGGCATTTATCTAAGAGAAACAGAAATTTATGTTCACACAAAATCCTGTAAACAATTGTTCATATGAGTTTTATTCATAATAGGCAATAAATAAATAAGCAAAACAAATAACAAAAACCCTGGAAACATCAGATGCCCTTCAACAGGTGACTGGTTAAAGAAAATGCAGGACATCCGTATCACGGAATACTACTCAGCAATGGAAAGGAACAAGCTATTGATAATGGGTACATTCCCTGCACTAATCTCCAGGGAATTATGCTGAGTGAAATAAAGCCAGTCTCAAAAGGTTATATGCTGTGTGATCCCATTCATATAAGCATTTTTGAAATGACAAAATTATAGACATGGAAAACAGATCAGCAGCTGCCTGGAGTCAGGGAGGAAGGGAAATGACTACATCTATAAAAAGACAACAAAAAGGATCCTTGTGGTGATGCAATTGTTCTGTATCTTGACTGTGGTGGTGCACATATGAATCTACATGTGATAACATTATGTAGAACTAAATACACACATGCAGATGACTGCATTAAAACTGACAAAATCTGAATATCTGAGTAAGGTTGATGGATTGTATCCATTTCAATTTTGTAGTTATGATGTTACACTATACTTATGCATGAGGTTACTACTGGGGAAAATTAGATAAAGCATATTATTTCTCACAACTGTATGTGAATCTACAACTACCTCAAAATAAAAAGTTAAAAGGGAAAGAAAGGGTACATAAGACCAGCCAGTGGTAAAAGTGGAAAAACAAAGCTTTTATTTTTGCTAAAGGCTCAGCAATTGAAAGTGAAAGGATGAAGAAAAAAGTAATGTCAAAGAATCCACAGGCTACAATTAATAGAGTCATCTCTTCCTTCCCGATGGATCCTTAACTTCTCCAGAATTTTGTTTGTCTTTGATTTGACTGTTGTTTTTAATAAAAGTAAACTGCATGTACATCTGTCTCTCCACATGCCCCACAACCATCTCCATCAGCCCAAAGTATAAACTCATAGGGTAAGGTTTGTCTTCTTAACCATCATGTCCTGATGGCCTGGCATAAAAGAAGTGACAGATGAAGGAACAAGATAGTTGAATGATTAATAAATGAATGAGCTGCTCTCATATTCTTTTAAAGTCCCTAGCCAATTACAGTTGTAAGGCAGTATCTACACATTCCCTTATAAATTTCTAAAGGCCATGGATGTTTAAAAAATAGTGTGATATAACACACATTTTACTTGCAAGCAGAAATTAACATAATACCCGACATTTGTAAAACGCTTCTGAGTTTGCCGGGTGCAGTGGCTCACGCCTGTAATCCTAGCACTTTGGGAGGCTGAGGTGGGTGGATCACCTGAGGTCAGGAGTTCAAGACCAGCCTGGCCAACATGGTGAAACCTCATCTTAAAAAAAAAAAAAAAAAGTAAAATGCTTCTGAGTTTATATACTTTCACATACAGTAATTTATTTTATCAGGATAAATTAAGAACTAAGCATACCTAAATCGAAACCACTACACAGAAACCTTTGAGAAAAACATTCTAGTCAACTGGTATAACAGGGTATATGACAGCCTTAATGCAAATTGCATTGTATGTGTGTGTACACATATATACACATATATGTGTATATATATTTGTCACATATATAAGAATATAGCATTCAAATTGGGGAACTTGTGGATCATTTCAACAACCATAAAGACGCTTATTTTACAAAGGCAAAAACTAAGAGAGGTGAAGTGACTTGTTCAAAGTTATATATCTAACTAGAGCTGGGTCTAGAACCTGAGCCTCTCCAGAGTTCCAATTCATTTCTCTTGTCATTGAATTGGACAGGACTCTTCTTTCTCCACTCATCTCACCCCTACCAAAAATGCTGAAAGAAATATCTTAATCTAAATCACTTGCGTGTTTTTTTTAACTAAGGGATTTTCAAAAAAAAAAAACACAAAACGGAATTTACTCGAGTTTTCAATTGCTGTATTACATCTTCCATGGACTTTTAGTTATCAAATTACTTCTTATAACAGGACAATAAGGTACTTTATTCTAAAGTACTGACAGTTTAATATTTCATCCCCCACCTAAATGGGAGAGAGTGTTAATTCTAACAGGAGTCTTACATGTCTTACACTTTAGCAGTTTCGATCAAAAGATGAGTTATTTTACAATTTAAGGCAGAGGCCTTACACTATTAAAATCTTGATTGACATGTTCAATGGCAGGCAGTACCATCATTGAATCTCCTCCTGCTGCCTTATATATCAAGAACATTTAAAAGTCTTTCTTATTAGAGGCAACATAAAAGAAAAACTAAAGTGACAAGCAACTATGAGAAATAGGCTTTAATCAGGTTAAATTTGCATTATGCAGCCTGCATGAATTTAGAGGTCCTAGAATCAGAACACTAGAAGGAACCCTAGTTATGCTCTAGTTCAACAGACTGATTTTTGCAGAAGAGAAAACTGAAGCGCTGAGACCATTAACTAACAAAGCAGAGGAAACTGAAGCGCTGAGACCATTAATAAAGCAAACCGCTTACTTTTCCAAAGGGATTCACTTCAGTGCCATTTTACTATTATTTTGCATCTCACTGTTGTTTCTCAGGGCGATGACTGACCTTTTTTTAGGTGAAAAGAGCGAACAGAGCAAATGAATTTCAAGAGGGTGAAAAAAATGCCTTTGAAGGAGGAGATGCTGGAGTGAAGAGGAGAAATGACGTCTTATTTAAAATATGTAACCCCTTGATGGGGTTAAACAATGAATCATATTCTCCTAGATTTTTCTGTGTCGTTAGACATCAGCCACAGTTCTTTTGGGCACTCAAACGAGAGGAAGAGGAAGTGAATAAAGCTCATGCTAAATATATAGCACCCACCGAAGGCAGGGATGTAGACCGAGAGAACGGTGAAAGGAAGGAAAGCATGCTTCACCAGGATCCAGATGTGTGCTAACATACCTAAACCTACAGAAGCAAGGAAGATATCCGAAGCAAGGAAGACATCGTAAGCAAGGGCATTCCTCAAATTCGAGAGGGCGGATGCTTCTAGGGCCAGAAAGACTCCCTGGCCCTCAGTTACAGAGCGACTGGGAGGGTACAAAATGGAGTTGAGGTTTAGGGGCACCCTAAAGGTCGTTTGGAGGTCTAGCAAGCAGTTGGTGGTCTCTTCCGGAAAGGGCCGTGGCAAAGCCTAGTACCCCGATCAGGAAGATGACTTCTGGCCCTCAGGGTGCGGTGAGCGGCAGTAAGAGGCAGGCTGGGGTCCCGAGGACCCCAGACTCCATCACAGGAGCAGATACAGTGACCTCGAGAATCTTCCCGGCCCCCGTGAGGCGGGAGGATAGACCGCCCTGGCTCAAGAAAAAAAACGAGCCGATTCCGGGAACTGGAATGCCCACCCAACCTACTCCCGGCTCAGGTGAGGTACGCCAGCCCCCCCGGAGATGGGGCCCTGGTACCGACAGGACAGGGGTTCCGGGGCCGCAGCCTCCCCAGCCAGGGATACTCACCGGAGGAGCTGCCCACCGCGTCTTCGCAGCCGGCACTCGGGAAGCTAGCAAAAAGGAGCCGCGTGCCCGCTAGCGCTGGGACTAGTAGGAGCCCGCCGCGGAGGCCGGAGAAAAAGCCGCAGCGCCGCGCGCGCACCCAGACAGCCAACGGAGGCGGGGCGCGGCGCGAGCCCGGAAAAGACGCGCCCGGAGGGGCGGGCGGAGCGGGGGCGCGCGGTGGTGTGGCAGAGCCAGCCGAATCGCGGGCGGTTGACGGCTCGGCCCACCCACGCGCCCGCCCCCGCTCGCCGGGGACGTCAGCCGAAAAGGCGGAGCCGAGCGGGCTTCCTGGGGCGCGGGAGGGGGTCTGCGGGGAACGCGAGGCGGCTAACGGCTCGCCGCAAGTTGTTTCTCTGGCTGACGAGTCGTTTCTGTCAGGCTCGCTGCTGGTGTGGTTGTTTCGGAAGGTCCTTGCGCCTAATTGTAGTGAGGAGCAGGACTGGCCCACGCCCTTACCTGCGGCTTGCTTCGCAGAACTCCACCCCTCGAGTGGATAAAAGTTCCCCTCGAGTCATCTTCCAGTTGCTCTCAAAAGATACTCATGTTTGGATTTCACTGCTCCTCATTTAGAGAGCTATCTTAACGCTGACTAAAAGCATCTTGCACCTGTAAGCCTGAGCTAATGCCTCTCATCCATTTATCTTGCCTGTCACTGTGTTAAGATCCCCACTCTCTCCCACTAATGAAATATCACAGGGACGCAGAATTTTCACGTTTTCTTCCATTTCCACGATGGTTTCATGGCGAAAGAGCCCCCAACTGATAAGGAAAAGTCACCGCAGCTTTGTGACATCTTACTGGCCCTGATCATTGCTTATAAGCCAGTCATACGAATGTTGTTACAACAGATGCAAGAAACTGCCATTAAACATTAAATTCCAGCGAACTATCTGAGGACTTCAAAAGGGACAGACCATAATTGCAAATGAGCCCTGATAAACTGCCAAGAATATATCACCCAAAAAAATAAATCTCAATAATTCTTCCAGTTCCCTGATGCGTAATGGCGAGCTAGCTTCCTGGTCCTGATGGTAATTGACATTTCACTTCGCTTGCTGATTTCCATTTTCCCACAGAATTACCAGTTGTGCGTGTATGTATGTGTGTGTGTGTATATATATATATATACATATACACACACACACACAGAAAATGCCTTACCACCTGAGATTACAGACTAGAGTAGTTCTTAAACTTCAATGTGCATCACAATTTTCTGGAGTGCTTGTTAAAATGTGGGTTCCTGGAACTACAACTCCCAAATATTTTGATGCTGATCTGGGTAGGGATAAGAAATTTGAATTTTTAATAAGCAGCCCAGGTGACACTACGAGTGGTTAGCTGAGACCACAGAGCTACAGTTTTTGTGTGTTACTACTCTAAAGCCGTATTACCAATTCAATTTCCAACAGACCCACCCACTTACATTATAATATACCTATAAATATTGCTAAGACAGTCATGTAGCTTCCTTTTTCAAGATTGACCTAGAAAGTTCAGTACTTCAAACAACGAGTTTGTCATGTTTATTTTATGAAATCTTGTTTTATACCAGCAATAAGCAATCATTTGTCAGGTATATAATTCACTGGGTAACTATGATGTGTAGAGCACTGTCACCTACAGTTGGGTTAACACAAATGAAATCGAAGAAATGACTATCCCTGCTCTCAACAAAGTTAGTGTCTAGTTGTGGAATTAAAATATAAACATAATACAAACCCAGTGTAGCACATAAATTGATGTGTTGGATGAAGAAGAAAAAGAACTTGTAATTAAAGGGTACTTTTGCCAGTTTCCTTTATTATCAGTCTCTTAGCCCAGACATTTTCAATTAGGTAATTTCCTCTGAACAGAGTCTTCAGCTTACTGAAATTTCTCCACCTCTACAAGATATAAAGGAAAGAAATCACTATGGCCTGAAACTATCCGTTTTTTGGTATAAGAATGTGTGTATGATATACATATAGGTATATTTATCAGACCAAGAAACTACTTGGATTTTCAAGATCTCTTATTACTTGAACTTTTCATTAGTGTGTACAGTTCTGGCTGTCTTCATCACCTACCACATCTCACCTTCTTCCACATTTAACAGCACCCAAATTGAAGAGGAAAGAAGAACTATATGTCCAAAAAGGAAACCAAGTATAACCACGCTATTTCCAGCTTTTCCTTTTTCAGAGACAAAACAAACCTTGCTTAATTTCTTGTCATCAGAAACCTTCCAGAAATTACTACCCAGGAGCAAAATATTTCCCAAGCAGCTGTCTGGCATTTTAAAGAGAACATTTGGAATGTTGTTTATTAGTTAGGAAGATATGGTATTATTATCTCTATTTCACAGATGAAGAAATATATGCAGATTATGTGACTCATCCAGTCACACAACTAACTAGTAACAGAGCCTCAATTTCCTACTACGCTGCTTATGACTCCTAGACCAGGGTGCCTGCTGCTGCATCAAGCTGCCTCTGTAATGAGTCCTATCCAGAACTATCAACCCAATTAGAAATAAAGTAGATAAACATATGGAAATGGAAGAGTTAGGGAAATGTACAATGCAATTGACAGATTCAAAATACAATGTAATAAGTACTAAAAGCAGGAGAATTAGTCTATTAGAAGCCAAATAGAATTTAAAGGACAGCTCTGTTAACAGGCACTGATATTTAGGTCTTGCCTGTTTTATTATTCTGTAACAAGAAGCTGAAACAGATAGCCAGGCTGCTCTTGGCATTAGTTATTTATGGAAGGGCAGAAAACAACTGTTCTTCATTGACTGTGTAACAAGCTTTTGCATGTTAAACTTCACGGGTTTGTGGAATAATAATAATTTCTCTCTGGTCCAACTACAAGCAACAGGACTTCATAATAATATTTGCATTGACAAGTTGTGTTAGATTTTGTCGTTAACAAACCTTATTTTTTGCAGACCCAACAACCAGGCCAAATATTGTCTTTAGTGGCTTGTGTGAAACAACCAGCGAAATCAGAAACCTAGGCAGATGATCTCATTGTGAACATAAATAATAACCTAAGCCACTCCTTTCGAAAATGATCAAAGGCATAATAGCTACATCTAAATGTTTTTTTTTTTTTTTTTTTTTGAGACGGAGTTTCGCTCTTGTTACCCAGGCTGGAGTGCAATGGCGCGATCTCGGCTCACCGCAACCTCCGCCTCCTGGGTTCAGGCAATTCTCCTGCCTCAGCCTCCTGAGTAGCTGGGATTACAGGCACGCACCACCATGCCCAGCTAATTTTTTGTAGTTGTAGTAGAGACGGGGTTTCACCGTGTTGACCAGGATGGTCTTGATCTCTTGACCTTGTGATCCACCCGCCTCGGCCTCCCAAAGTGCTGGGATTACAGGCTTGAGCCACCGCGCCCGGCCTAAATGTTATTTTTAAGAAATGATTCGTTTTGTCAAAATAACCACTTCTTTTCGTTCTGGCATATTTTGCAGGTTTTTAAATTAATGGAAACACCAAAACAAACAGACATTTAAAGCACCGGATAGGAAGACATAGTATTGTATGGAGTCAGGCCTTTCTAAATTAATCTGTCAAGACAGTGTGGTTCACATCAAAATCCCAGGAGTGTTTTAATGAAAGTTAACTTCAGTTTCTCTCATGAAACTCCTTATTTGTCCATTTTAAAGATAACTCCAACCCCCCTAAAAAAAATCCTCCACAGTTGTGCTTGAAAATTGTTTTTCCAACCTTCCCATAAGGGATCAAAAATAACAAAATATTTTTATTATCCATAAGGCCATGAGCAAGTGAAAAATCTGCTGTGGTTGTCATCAAATCTATAAGAAAGTTGCCTTTGGTATGTTTTTGCCCACTCTCTGTAGTGATTCTAGCCTAGTAATATTATGAAAAAGGATAGGTCATCAATATCATCACTTGGCTTAAATCTCTCTTTATTATCTTTTCCCTTTAACATACAAAAAAACTTCCAATATGTCCTATTCTTAAAAGACTAGTAAAATAACAAAATTTTAAGGTGTCCCTTACTGAAAATCTTCGACTATTAGTGCTGGGAGGCCATTTAGAAGCAGAGTAGCAGGATGGAAACCATATGGGCTTTGGACTTAAGCCAAACACCCTAGACCAAGTTATATAACATTTGCCAGAGCCTCTGCCTCTTCTGTAAATTGTGGATAATAATGGTACCTCATTCATAAGGCTCTTCTGAGGGAGGATTAAATGAAATCATGCTTGTAAAATTCCTGATTTATGGCAAGTGTGTATAAAATGATGGCTATTAATTACCCAGTTCAACCTCTTCATTTCACAGATGAGAAAAATGAAGCTAAACCAGAACAGTTGTCTTTCTCTAGATTCTCCTAATTATTGCGTACTTTCTTTCTTTTTTTTTTTTTTTTTTTTTTTTCGAGACAGAGTCTTGCTCTGTCGCCCATGCTGGAGTGCAGTGGCGTGATCTCAGCTCACTGCAACCTCCACCTCCCGAGTTCAAGTGATTCTCCTGCTTCACCCTCCCAAGTAGCTGGGATCACATGCACGTGCCACCACACCTGGGTAATTTTTTTTGTATTTTTAGTAGAGACGGAGTTTCAACGTGTTAGCAAGGACGGTCTCGACCTCCTGACCTCATGATCCAACCGGCTTGGCCTCCCAAAGTGCTGGGATTACAGGCGTGAGCCACCGAACCCAACCTTGAGTGACTTTCTTTATAGCTGTGGACTAAATTCCTTGAGAAGTGGTCTACTGCCACTTCATTCACTAAATCACTATGTGACCTCCAAGTTAATCTCCATTCCCATCAATCCTACAATTCTTCCTATTGCTAATGCCTTTTATGAAATAGACAAACCCCATAATTATATTTAAATAATTATGGGACTATGGGACTGCACAAACCTTTGGACATTTATTTAAAGCATCACTCTTCAAATTAAAATTCTGTAATAAAACTGTCTGCTTCACTTGGACCCTGTGTGGCCGGCCCCATGGTACTAGCCAAGCATTGTTATTCAAATAAAACATTTTTTAAAAATATGTTTGAATGAATAATTATTACTTTTAGAAATAAATATAAAAGGTTATTAAGGCCAGGCGCGGTGGCTCACACCTGTAATCCCAGCACTTTGGGAGGCTGAGTTGGGTGGCTCACAAGGTCAAGAGATCACGACCACCCTGGCCAACATGGTGAAACCCTGTTTCTACTAAAAATACAAAAAATAGCTGGGTGTGGTGGTACACACCTGTAGTCCCAGCTACTCAGGAGGCTGAGGCAGGAGAATCTCTAGAACCCAGGAAACGGAGGTTATAGTGAGCCAAGATCGTGCCACTGCACTCCAGCCTGGCGACAGAGCAAGACTCAGTCTCAAAGAAAAAAAGGGGGGGATATTAAATATTTTAAATTTCCCTTTCAGATTGGTAAGATTTTTAGATTCATAATATTCAATTTTGAAAAGAATATGAAGAAACTTGCACTCATATATTCAAAGTAGGAGTATAAATTGGTTTGGGCTCCTTTATTTTATTTTACTTTATTTGTTTTGATTTGTTTTTGAGACAGAGTCTTGTGCTGTCATGCAGGCTGGAAGGCAGTGCCATAATCTTGGCTCACGGCAACCTCTGCCTCCTAGGTTCAAGAGATTCTCATGCCTCATCCTTCCGAGTAGCTGGGATTACAGGCGCCCACCACCATGCCCAGCTAACTTTTTTATTTTTAGTAGAGACAGGGTTTCACCACGTTGGCCAGGATGGTCTTGATCTCTTGACCTTGTGATCCGCCCACCTTAGCCTCCCAAAGTGCTGGGATTATAGATGTGAACCATTGTGTCTGGCCTGGCCTTTTTAAAAGACAATTTGGCTGTATCTTTTACAATTTAAAACGCTCATACTCTGACATTTTCATTTACTGGGCTCTACTATACAGAGAAACTTGAACAAATACACAAAGATATACGCACAGGAAGAGTAACCAGAGTATTATTTTAGTAGTGAAAAATTAGTCAAAAATCCCAAGTGTTCATTAGTAGGAATATGGTTAATACCTTATGGTCTATCCATACTGTGGAATACTGTGTAAGGTAAAAAAAAATGAGGTACAATTATTTAGATATCTACATGCAAACATAATGACATGAAATGATGTTTGTGATATATTATTACGTGAATAAGAGCAATTTGCTATTCAATACACATAATTCATTCTCATTTTGAAAAAAAATAAGTATATGTCACAGCATGTGTGTGCAGCAAACATCTGTAAAGATCTATACTAGATAATGAACAGTTGTTATATCTGCAGAAAGGGATCAGAGCCTCCTTTATATACTTCTGTCTGAGCAAAAAAGGTGAAGTGAACATGCACTTCTTTTGTAATATAAACAAGAATAAAGAGACAATCAGTGGAAAATTGAGCCTTACTGAATGAAAATTTGCTTTACAAATAGCTTTTCAGGAATGTATTTAGTCTATGTACAGTGATATACAGCTACAGAGAATTTTGACACCTTCATATAGGGCCTACTTGCACCATGGCTCAATAAAGAGAATACAGTCATCAGGAGGACCAATTCCTAAGCTGTTCTAGATCATCATACCTAAATTTTTGCCCTTTGTCAACAAAATTAGATTTGTTGAACTATTTCATAGATACCATTGAAACAAACTTGTAGAAAGTTGAAGTTAAGACCAGGTGTGATGGCCTATGCCTGAAGTCCCAGCTACTTGGGGAAACTGAGGTGGGAGGATCACTTGAGCCCAGGAGTTCAAGACCATCCTGAGCAACATAGTCATATGTCATCTCTAGAAAAATAACAACTATTAATTGGGTGTGGTGGCATGCACTTTGAGTCCCAGCTACTCTGGAAGGCTGAGACAGAAGACCCCTTGAGCCCAGGAGTTCAAGGTTACAATGAGCTA